TGTACAGTTTCTCTTTGTCGGTTGGTTACTACAAGAAAAAAAAATTTTTTTTAATATTAGTTGTACTAAAACAGTAAATTTAATCGATCTTATATTTAACAAGCTTAATGTATATTTTATCAAATACAACTTGGTTTTTTATCTTTTATTGTAATTTTTCAAATCGTAGTTCCACAATCAACTGAAAAATAAAATCATAAAATGTACTACGACATTTTCCTGATTAAGGCTGATTGTGGCAAGTTTTTTACCACTCCGGTTCCCCCATTGATCCCCAACCACCTCCTGAACTTTTTCCAGTTGTCAGTGGTCTAAAACGGAACATAAATCATAGACCGAGGCTTGACAGGATGCGCTTGGGTCCTGATGAGAGTCGAGCATTCTCCACACATGAATCACTTGATGGCGCAGCGAGTGCAACAAACTGTGATTAATAGCAGACGAAACCCCGATCCGAAACCCCGAAAAACAGGAACCCACACAAAAGCTTGAGCTGACAAATTTTCATGAATTTTTTATTAAACATTGAAATCAATTCCACTTTGTACTCTTCGTTTCCGTTGCTTCTGCATATGTTTGGTGGGTGGGGGGAAATTTTTTAAAAACATTTTTTGCCTGGCTTTTAGAGTCTGCAGCACACGTTTGACTTAACTTGTTGATTTATGGCTCGCAAGCTGTCAGCGAGGGAAAGCCAAGAGGCAACTGCCGTGTTTGGTAACATTTTTGGGGGACTGGGGGACTGAAAAGTGGGTGGTACAAGCACACATTGTGTAAAACGCCTTGTTAACATTGCTTATTCGAGGTCTCATTTGTTGCGAGCCCAGTTTTTGAGGAAGAAAGCAGAGTTGACAGTTTTTGGGGAACCCCCGCATTAAGGAATTTAAATTAGTTCAGGCACAGAAATGCGCAGCAGGAAACGCTTTTTGACATAGTTTTCAGCGCTCGGCTATAAATCAAGGCATTTTCCAGTTGGATTGGGATTTTGGAAGAATTAAGTGGCGATCTTGGTTCATGGACTTTTCAATGTATGTTGGCAATTCCATGATCATCCACATCACATCAAAAATTAAAAACCTTTAGTTATATAAAATCAAAAATTTTTTAATAACCTTATTAAACAATTTTATAAAGACAGATGCTGATATGCTAAGCTAACATAACTGAACAAATTGTGACGCAGCGAATTTTCTTTATCTTCTTTATCTCCCCACAATCTCATCTGCCCAACCTCAACCGTAAATATCCTGCCAAAATTTCTGTGCATCCTCCGACCCCCGACTTTAAAGGGTTAACTGTTTGGGCTCAGGACTACCCCGTTATGTTTCGTCAAATTTTCAATATTTACAATTACTTAGCATTTTAAGTCGCCGCGTCACATCAAAATGACAATTATTTGTCAAGTCACAATCAAATTGAATCCAACAGACACGCACAGGAGCGCAGGATCACAGTTGTGCCTAATCCTGCGGCTTTGCATGTGCGCCATATTACCAAAAATATAAAAAAGAAAGGGAAAATATCGGTAGGGGTAGGTGAAAATGGGAAAGGATTGCACTCGTCAAAGTGACGAGACAGTAGGAAGGGGAGTAATAGCAAGGATATGTCCTGAGGGGGGTTTGTCATTTGGGCCTCAACGAACGCGCGTCGGCTATAAATTTTTATGATTATGGTTTAGGCAGCGGAAGATTTACTTTACACATGTGCTGCATTTTGCATATGATACCAGCTATTGGTAGAGATGGCAACGTGAATGGGGAAAGTGGGGAGGGAAGGATGTATATACCAGATAGTACACAAAGCCTTACTATGCTGAAACAAACTTGCACTACGCAAGAATCTCTAGAATCTGCATGCTTAATCGCAACAGAAGGAAGGATGGGTAGATCGACACGGCTAGTAATCCTGATCAAGAATATATCCATACACAAAGACGCATTTAGTATATCCTTTAACTCTACCAGTAAGAAATAAAACGTAATGGGAATATATTACAGATAATCTCTTCTGCATTTTAAATGAAATCGATGTTTTTTAGCTCTAATTTTCAAACGTTTTCGAATTATATAGCCTACTTTTAGTTACACATGCAGAGGAAAAATAACCTTTAATACTTTTTTAATTTAAAAGATCACCTTAACTAAACTCTAAATAATATTGTAGTCTTTTATTTTTTAGGTATTTATTTTCTTTACTATTGATATGTCTAAGCAAATTTAAATTTAGACTTCATACAAAAATTACTTTTATTTTATTTTAAAAAATTTTGTTTAATGGCACGCTCCCATCTCTAATAGCAAACTCAAAACCGAAACCACCACCCGCGTTTCAAAAATTACCAAACGCATAAAAACTTATGTTTATTTGACTTGGCCTTCAGTCGGTTGTCGGGTGCCACGCCCCTCCCTGGAACTCTACCACCCACCGCCCAGGGTTAATTGAGAGTTTTGCAAGCCCGCGAATATCGCACATGTGGAGCCTTCTGCGGCTTAAGTTATGGCCAAAGATATTTAGCGCAATTTTCAGCTTTATTTTAATCTTTTCAATGATAAAATTTTACGATTTTTGGCCGCCACTCCTCCACAGGCTTTTGAACTGAAAAAATGCGGACATATGCCATGTTTGGAATTATTTTTAATTGGTGCTACTCACCCCATTGTTTCCCTAACTTTGCTGCAAGGTACAGTCAGCCCCGGAGGCTTTTCGCGCAAAAAGCTTTCAAATCAAAGCAATTTTCGCTTTGATTTGTGCGAAATCCGGCGAAAAAATAAAATACGAGCCCAAACAGAAGCGGCTCAAATTCGGCGCGTGAGATTTATGTAGTTGAAAGATTTATCCGCGCTAAATTTATTGCAGGTCCTGACCGTGTCCACGGGGAAGTCGGACTTGGGGCTAGGACTTCATAGACCTGCTCGCCGTTAAGTGCTTTAAAAGCGCATAAATCACGCGGTTGTTTGGCACTTTGGCGAAAACCGCGTTGACAAACTTGCCCGAACACAGGCTCGCGTAATTTACCCAAAACTGGCTCTTTTTACACAGGGAAAAATAAGATCTAATGAATTTATGTTGTCGTATAAAGTATTGGGTGGGCAAGAAAGTCATGTCGTTTTTTTTAGTAATCGTTTTTAATCTAATTTATTTACGACTAATCGAGCACCAGGGTCACACTTTTTAGTATCGTTTTAAAGCTTATTGTCTTAGGTACTATCGACGAAAATTTGGTAATTATTCGATAACATTTGTGGAAGCTATAGCAAATTAAACATGGAGGACCAAAGTGAGCATTTTCGGCATATTTTGCTTTTTTACTTCCGAAAAGGAAAAAAAGCGGTCGAAGCTCGCGAAAAATTGTGCGAAGTGTATGGTAAAGATGCCATGAGTGATCGCCAATGTCAGCGCTGGTTTGCCAAATTCAGGCTTGGAGATTTTGGAGTTAAAGACGCCCCACGTTCTGGTCGACCATCGGCCGTTTTTGACGAACAAATTCAGGCTTTGCTGGATGAAAACCGGCGCTATTCAACGCGGGAGATGTCAGAGAAGCTCAGTGTGTCGCATACAACGGTTGAAAACCATTTGAAGAAACTTGGCTACGTAAGCAAGCTCGATGTTTGGGTTCCGCATAACTTAAAGGAAATTCACCTAACTAAGCGTATCAACATCTGCTATTCTCTGCTGCAACGGATTAAAAACGATCCTTTTTTGAAGCGGATCATTACCGGCGACGAAAAGTGGGTTGTTTACAATAATGTCCAACGAAAAAGATCATGGAGCAAGAAAGATGAGCCAGCCCAAGCCACATCAAAGGCCGATATCCATCAGAGGAAAGTTATGCTGTCTGTTTGGTGGAATTGGAAGGGTGTAGTGCACTTTGAGCTGCTGGGACGGAGTGAAACCATCAATTCAGATGTGTACTGTCGCCAGCTATCCAATTTGGCGGAAAAAATTAAAGAAAAGGAGCCGGCACTAGCTAATCGCAAGGGTATAGTCTTTCACCATGACAACGCTAGGCCCCACACATCTTTGGTCACTCGGCAAAAATTAACGGAGCTGAATTGGGAAGTGCTACCACATCCACCTTATAGTCCGGACTTAGCACCTTCAGATTACCATTTGTTTCGCTCTCTTCAAAACTCTTTGAATGCTAAAAACTTTGATTCAGATGAGGCTGTCGAAAACCACTTGTCTCGATTCTTTGCTGGAAAAGACCAAAAGTTCTTCGAGCGCGGAATTCTGCAGCTGCCCGAGAGATGGTCATTAGTGGTCGAACAAAACGGCCAATACATAATTGATTAATTATAAGTCCTGATATAAATAAATCATCTTTGAAAATATTGAAAAAAAACGACATGACTTTCTTGCCAACCCAATACATATCATACAAATTATTGACCCCGAGTTTCAGAAAAATCTTTTAAGCTGTCTTTTTAACTCAATTCTTAAAAATTTGAACGAATAAAAACCTGTGCTTAAGAAAAGGCCTTGTCTTACAATAAATGATATTTTGTTTAAAAAAGCTATCGTATTAATGGAAAAGTATAACATTCCATAAATATTATTTTACATTTCAGGATTCGATTTTTTCCAAGTGTCCTGTTTTTTCAGCCTTTCAGGGCCGTCAAATTACGCGTAAATGGCAGTTCCAACTGGCACCACCTCCCACATCGTACTGACACTCCCCCGGAAATCTCTGTGGTTTCCAGGCCCGCGGCGCCTCAATCCAAATCTCCCTTAGTACTCCCCTCACCACCTCGTTTAACCCACTGCCACATACGAGCCGCGTTGATGGCATTTTAATTAGTTTTAGGAACGTGTAGCAACCGTTTGATTGAATTGTTTTTTCGAGCGGTGGCAGAAACTGTGGGTGCTGTTTGGACATGAGTTCGATGTTGACACTGAGTGCAAATTTCGGTTCTAACATTTTTACAGATTTCTTATACTAATTATACACTTTAAATTTTGTTCTGGTTTTATTCAATTATTTATTTGAGACTGTGTAAAAATGGCGGGTATAGCAAAAAGCTAACAAATATATGTGCAAAGTATTAGATACAGAAATTAAAACCATCGTCTCTAATAATTTTTCTCATTAGAATAAGGTGACATCAGTCATGTAACTCGTGCAACGTAACAGCTCTGAGGTTGGCTCTTCCTCAAACTGAAAAGAAAAAGTTTATTTTAAGATTAAGAATAGAAAGTCACATTAATTGTTTGTGTACTTTTTTTGTTTTGCAAAACATGAGTTTTAATTAATAAGTTTAAATACATTTAAATTGTTTTTCTATTAGTAAAGCAAAAATCGGAAAAGCTTTGATTACGTAATATATGGACAGACACTAAACAGAGCTTAGATTAAAATCTTACCACTTTTGCCGATTCAAGTAAATCTTGGTCGTCGTCCCAACAGAGTGCATTTCCTATTATTGTCAGTTTAAATGGGTTGTCTGGAGTGAAGCCTCTCTCTTTTAAAATGTCAACAAACAAGGACATGCCTGTTTTTGAAATAGTGTAAAAGACTTTTGGTTGCACATAAAGATATCTCAACTTCCTGCAGCTTCTTAGCAATGAAAGCATTTTGGGTTCGCAAAACTTATTAACCTGCAATACTACTTCTTGCAATGTGTTTCCGTGCTTAAGTAACCAAGCTTCATGATCGTGGTTATACCATTCGTGGCAGTTTTCTATCTTCACACTATTTAGCATTGGAAAGAAGGGAAACTTTTGAATTATATTGCATTTATCGACTCTAAGCTTTTCCAAAAGTGGAAATGACAAACCATCATTCTGAAATGGTTTAGTGATGTTGCAGCTAGATACTCGGAGAGAACGTAGTTTTTTTAATGGCGCACACATTTGAAAAATATTTATATTTAAATTTCGGTTACAACTCCCGGAAATATCCAATTCTTCCAGGTTGACATACCGTTTAATGAGATGAACTGAAAGTAAACAATGTTATTACTGGAAGTGCATTCTAGTAATGTTTGTATTCACTAACATTTTGTGTCGGGTACCACCTCCATCTTTAATTTTCTCAAAGGTCGCAATTGACCCAAAACATGCATTATATACTCTATACGAGGTATATCAACTAATTTATGATCCAGAAATGATAAGTGGATGGATTTCAAGCACTCGGATTTTTGCATCAGAAAAGCAATTGCATTTACATTATTCCGATCAACATGTGCTTGAAGGGATTGCAGGTTGGTGCAATGTCGTTGTATTAATTCGAAAGTTTGAATATCGATATGGAAATAGCACCAAGTATCAATTTCTAGAACACTAGGTCCGCACAGACGAAAAATAAGTGACCAATCTTCCGGTGGTACTGCATCGAGCTCCACTCTTTTGAATAAATCTCCGACGTGGTAAACGAATGCATCCGCCAAATTTGGGTGAGAATCGGCCAACCTAAGTTTATGTGACGGGGAAAGTTGCTTGAAAATGAGGTCCAGAACTTCAAGCGGCAGATCCAAAAGAGTTTTACAATCACACATTTTGCTCAGCAGAAAAAAAAAGTTCTTCTAAATGGAACAAAAAAAGCCTCGTCACCAGGGGTGCACCTAACTGTTATCGAAAACTCTTGATACACGGCATAGAACTGAGATGACACAAAAAAAATATCGTCTCACATATACGATCCACCTTATAGACTGTTCATAGGGGTAATCTACTTTATCAACTAACAACATCTACATCAATGTCTTTTCCTCTGTACAGTACCATGTAGAAAAGTTAGGAAGGTTTGTATTTAATACTTATTGTGATGGACCTTTAAGCCATCCATCTAAGACCAGTCGGGCCGTGCTTAGTAGGAACAGGATATAACCTTCTTTTTATTAACACCTAGCCTTGTATATTTTATCGCTGATGTGATTTAATCACCTTTTCCCCTGGATCCCATTCGAGTGAAACAGTTGGGACTTTTGACCAATGAAACATCCTCCATCCGATAAGGACTTACGTAAAATGCAGTTGCTCATCAAAACGTTACCAATGGGGGCTACAGCTCGGCAAAACTGTCTCATATCATAAAAATTACAGGGCCTAAACTCTTTTAAATTTTTCTCGACGTTGTTACTTATCCGTTTTCGTTTCAATTTCCACTGTCAAGAAAAAACGCTTACTATCGCATAAAAAAGGTCAGTCAAATTCGGATAGCGGACCAACTGGAACTGGAACGCCGTAACTTATGGAACATCTATTGAAGGAATGGCGGATATATATCTATAGAAAAAGCCATTAAACTACGGTTGAACAAGATTAAAATTAATCAGTACATTGTTAATATGTATATTAATTCTTATTATATTGTACCATGCTTACACAAAAGTTTTAAAAAGTTTTTGGAAAATAGTACTTGGTCAAAAATGCTACATCTTATAAAAATCATATATTTATACACATTAATGGTTAGCACAATATACACACAAGCTATTGAAAAAGTCTTTGGTGGAGTTTACTCGCTGATTCAGAATCGCAGTCAGTCTGAACGGACTATAGTCTTTTCACTGGTCACTTGAAATTGGATTTCGTGACAATTCCATTCGCTCCACAAATATCGATATTTATTCGATACCCGGAAGCTTGCACCCCTGGTAATCACGCTTTATTTTTGTTTTATTTCCATTGGGGAGCACCATTTTGAGGTTTATTTTATTGCTGCACATAATGGAAGATTGAAAAACTTTGTTGCATCTTCCACTTGAAGTTCTGGACTTAATATTCAAGCAACATTCTCCGTCAAATAAACTTATGTTGGCCGACTCACATCCGATTTTGACCAAGGCCTTTCTCTACCATGTCGGCGATGTATTCAAGAAACTTTCTCTCAGAAAAATACCAGATGAGGATCTAATAGCCTTGCGTTTGTTCGGATCTTAGAATTTATACTGGAATACATCGCGTGGACCACATGATTCTGTCTTCGGGGGATGTGTTAATCCTTCTTCGTTTGCTCGGGTCCAGTCTGCTTGAAATTGACACTGGAGAATATCGTGTGGAGAATATTCATCTTATTTTCAAATCAATCCAAAGGCACTGCAACAATCTAGAGTCCATCAAAACGCTTCTTAACAAGAAAAACGTCAACGCCTTTTGCTCTTTGCTGCTAAAATTGGAAAAAATTTAGACCGTTGGACTGTCATTTTACCACAAGCTTGATGAGTTTGACCCAGAGTATACCATCCATGTTTTGCATCAGTTACCAAATTTGAGAAAATTAAAGATTGGAAGGATACCATACGTAAAAAGTCAGTGAGTAAAATGGTTATGAGAAGGACGACAATGCACCATAGTTATTTTATAATAATTTTAGTCGATCTTATTCAACAACTGGTCGATTTGGAAGACTTGGATCTAAGTGGGCGAAATGTCACTTGGTCAGATATTAATATCTTTAAAGAAACTACGTTCCCTCAGAGTTTGCAAATGCAATGTGAATGGACCATTCCACAATGATGGTCTGTCATATCAAGTTTTAGAAAAGCTCGGAGTCGCTTCATGCGAAATTGATCATCAATTTCCATTCTTTCCAAAGTTAGAATATATTGACATAAGAAACTCTTGCAGCCCGCTCATTTAAGATCTGGAAAGAACATTGCTTAAACATGTAAACACGTTGGAAAAAGTTGTATTGATAGTCGAATACTTCTGTGAATACTCTATGCTTCGATTGGTAAAAAACTGCAGGAACTTGAGATGCCTTTATGTGCACCCTATGGCTTCTGATCCAATTTCGAAAGCAAGCATTATATAATTTATCAATATTTTGAAGGAGAACGGGGTTACCCCGCAAAATCCATTTAAACTGATGGTGCTGGGAAACACAAGATATATGGGGCCCGAAAAAGTGTTAATGACTTAAGTTAGGCTCTATATAAAAATGTTAACCAAAAGAAACTATCTAATAAATTATTTAAATTTGACATTTCTTTTATTTTAGTTTGAGGAAGAACCAATCTCGGATCTCTTAAAATGTTGGAGTGATATGCAGTGGTTTTGTAGCTCTTATTTTCCTTTATTCTTTGGGAGTGCGTTAGAGACGCCTTTTGAAGACCAACTTTGGGAGTGAATATTAGATGGGCCAGCCTATGTTTTTATATCCTCTCAACTACAACAAAGATGTATGCTTTAAAACCGTTGACGAAGTTTTTTAAAAAAAATCGGTATTTGGGATCAGTTTCAAAAGTTTTTCAGTTTCAGTAAAAAGTCGATCACTTTGGTAAAAAAAAGGATACGTAAATTAAAGACTCAAATATATAAAAAGTATAAAAAAGTACTTTGTTATCTTATGGAATTTTAGTGTACTCCTTAGAAACCGCAAAAGCCAATCCTTTATACTTCTACAAACGGTATATCATTGAAATACAAGCCAAGAGGTAGCGAGCAAGAAGTTTTAGGCGCATAAATTTTTTGATAAAAGATCGGTAACCCGAATATTTGCTACTAGTGTAAAATTCTCTGGTCAATTTAAAAATCGTCCTAGTAAACTCTTTCCCATACGTCCTTAGCTTTGCACCCTTAAAATCTTTTTATGAAACATTTATAAATTCTCCCAAAATTAATATAAATTTCTTTTTACAAAATGTTGTTCAAATCCTAGGCATCAGTCAAGCATCAAATTATCTTCTTACATTTTAAGACATTTGTTTCAAATTAAGCTGCGTAAGACGCTTTTCTCACTCTAGAATTTTTGTGAATATTTGAAAAGATTTTCTAAAGGGAAAACTCGACCTTGTAATTATCTACTCGACCGCCGTTGGACGTCTCAGCCCCATTTCCAATTAAAATTAATGAAATATTTTACGGGAGCTGAAAAATTTGGCCGGGTCAAGTCGTAAAATCATTTTACAAAATCTTGTCAAAGCCGTTTCATAATCATAAACTTGGCAGCAACTTGGGTACTTCGCCGCTTTTTTTGGGGGCGTAATTATTAGCACCCTAGGAAAATTGCTTGGGATAATTCCCATTGAGGCAGACGACTTTGAAGTGTTGAGGGTTTTCGGTCCCCAAGGGATGAGGGGCCAGCATTTCTTTTCCAACGCTTACGGTTTGACATTTTACCATGGCTTATAATTGAAATTGTTTCGCATCTCGAGGAACTTTCCAGGTTGATTTTTTTTTGCCCGGTTCTTTCTGTTCCGGTGGCTACTTTTTAATTTGCAAGTCTCGGCGTTATAAATGACCAAAACACATACGTAAAATTAATGACAATGCCCAGGACTTTCTGTCAGTCTGATGGACAGACGTGGGACGAAGAAATGTTTGCAAAAAGCATTTCTGCTTAATGTTGATTAAAATGCCAGCGCGCTTTCATTTTGTGGCGTGAAAAAATGCCCGCCAATCTCTAGCCATTTTCCGGCTCCACTTACTGGCTTTCCCTCCGTTTTCCGTGTTGGCCATATTGACAGCCGTAGAAGTTTTTGGCCAGCTTCACAGCAGGCAGCTGTCTGCACTCGGCCATCGAACAATGGTGAATGGATAAATGGCGGAACGCTCCGATGGATGAGTTTGAAATGTTTTTCGGTTCGTGCTTTTCTTTTTTCCCCACTTTTTCAGGAGGCATTGCGTAGACAAATAAATGAAAATGTCAAACTGAACTGCAAGTGGTTAGGGTGTTCGGTGGTTTGCAGTCAGGGGATTTGGATTTGGAATGGGTTAAAGTGGCATTGAAATGAGTGGAGAGTGCTTGGCGTAAGCCCCAACCAAATATATAAATATATATATATTACATAAATAAATATAAGCCGTGACAATTTTCTAAAATAAATCTTTAATTTAATTTTTAATTTATATTTAAATTTTTTGAATTGAACAATTCTACAATATATAATAATGT